CTTGGGGACCTCTTGGGTCAGGAGGGGGGTAGTCGATTGCGCCCCTCCCCTCGGAGGCCACGATCCTCGTGAGGGGTGTCGAAAATTTGCCCGGTCTGGCATCTCTGATCCGAGTGTCCCGGGGGGGTCCCGGGGGGGTCCCGGGGTACTTTTTGTCCGGGGACCAGACCCCGCGCGCGCGAACTAGAATATTGTTAACCAGTTACCGGGGATCTCAGCACGCCCTGGGCCCGTTGGGCCGGCGAATTTATCGTTCCTTAGGTCAACGCCCTCCCCCGAGGGTGCGCGCGGTGGGCTACAGGGTATCATCCATTGGAGGGCCGTGCGCAGCAGCGGGGGGTGAGGAACGAGGAGCGAGGAGCAGGGGCGAGGAGCGGGCGAGCGAGCGAGGACGGAGAAGACGAGGAGGCGGAGGAGGAGGAGGGGCAGCAGCGCGGAGGAGCAGGAAAGGTGGAGGAGCGCAGGGCAGCGAGAAGGAGGAGGAATGAGGGGAGAGAGAGAGAGAGAGAGAGAGAGAGAGAAACAAAAAACAGCGCACGAAGGGGAGCGAGGAGGAATAATGAATCAGGGTGATGAGGAGGAGGGTGAGGAGGAGGAGGAGGAGGAGGAGGAGGAGGGATAATGGACTCCAATGAAAGGACCAAAATGGACGTTGCACGGCACCAACATTGAACGAGTTGGAACTACTTGGTTTGAAGTAAGGCTCCCTTGTTACGAATTCTCTCCATCAAAGCAACCACTCGCTGCTCGTGAGAAGGCGCCCCCGAGGCCTAGAAACATCTGGGAACCACCGTAGAGTCAGGAACCGCCGAAGACTTCGAGGGGGCCAGCATCCCAACCATGAGGGTACGAGGGAGGACACAGCCACGACCAATGAGAGCACGGACCTGTCAGTTTGGCGGCTTACCTCGGAAATAGCGCTTTATAACCTCCTTGCTTTTCTCAGTGGGGTGTTCACTTGGTTTTAAACAGGGCTTCGCTCAGTTGATTGCTCTACCCTGGGGCCAGGCTCCACACTTTTAACACATCCAGCAACGCTTCTCAGGATTTGCCCTCAGGAACGCGACGCCACTCGAGCCGACAACCCAGCCATGACGATGAAATGGCCCTTGGGATCTCTGAGAAGCGCCTTAATGCAGGATGGAACTCCCACACAGCCATTGAGAGGAAGAGCATCCTTGTCATCCCCTCTGAGGCAAAACACCTCTTGTATTGCAAACCAGCGGGGCCTTCATGCCATTGGTGTCAGTCCTGTTGAACACGATCAAGTTTTCTGCGGCGAACGGTGTTCCTCGCCCAACGCGGGGCGACCTCCCAAAGCGGCAGCACGACAGCAGCAAGGGCACAGAAATGACCAGCATGCTCTTCAGCTAACTCTATCTCTCCAAGGAACTGGGGGTCAGCTGAAGGATGGCCTCGAACCGCAATCTTGGCGTGGTGGTCTACAACTCTACGTGCCACCGCGAATTCACGTTCATTCTGAGACAACGTATGTATCTCCTCTTGCGACCTGTGAGCCTTGACATGGCGAGCCTTAGTGAGCAGCGATGCCCCTTCCGGGGGCTGAGCAAACTTTCGGATCCCAGCAAGTTTATTGCTGCCGAGCAATTGTGTTTCAACGCTACGCTGGGCTATTTTGATAGCCGACAGACAGTCCACGCCCAGCACGGCAGAGCGAGCGGCAATTCGACCGCTGAATGCCACTGCAACGTGCTCTGGCATACCGGGCTTCTGAGGAAAAGAGCCGTGGACGACCCCACGAACTATTGCTAATGGCTCGGGGTCGGGCCCACTTTCAGGCAGAATGCCTATCGACCATGCCGCTCGTTGGAGCGCACGTATCATTGGTTTGGTACATGGCCCGTCCGAGACCATTCTCAAAACACTCTCGCTTGGAAGCCCGGAGCGATAAATCAAACTGAAAATCATAATCATACGAACGCTGATAAGAAGAAGAGGAGAAGCGATGAGAACCGCGACGAACTGAGCGAGGAGGAGGAAGAGAAACCGTGAGAAGCGAGGAGGAGGAGCTAGGAGGGGGAGGGAGAAGGAATGCGACGACCGAAGTGAGACGGATGTACGACTAGGAACACTGAGGGGAGAGTATGAGCTGTAAGGATGACGAGTTGGGAGGACGAGACGGAGCAGGCGGCGTAGCGAGGAGGACGAGGATCGAGAAGCGAGGATAACCAGTAAGGAGAAGCAGGAGCGAGGAGGAGAGAAGAGGGGAGGTGGAGGAGGAGGAGGAGGAGGAGGAGGACGGAGGGGAAGGAGGAGGAGGAGGAGGAATACGTCCAGCTGCCTACGGCAAACCCCGTCACCGTGCCTGCGCAGCAGTGCCGCTGGAAGGGTATAAGACCACCCGCTCCATGTCAGCGCTCGGTTAGACTCGGCCTCGGCCCTGAACGTGTCCTCCGTGTTCACGTCATGCTGTTCGTCTTCCTCCCTCCTTCCTCTCTCGTTTCCACTCCTCACCCTTCCTTCGCACTCCCTCTTGAAGGCACGTCGGCGGTCTGGCGCTTCTGAGGGGCTTCCGGACCGAGGTACTGGTGGGCCAGCGTTGGCCTCGCTTGGGCCGTCTTGGGCCACCTTGAAGGCCGCTGGAACCGTCTTGCGCCGCCGTGAGCCCGAACGGGCGGGAGCGCGAAAACCATCCAAAGCCACATTGTGCAATGGGACTCCTGGGAGGTCTCTTGGAGCGGTCTTGGGCTCTGGGCTCTGTCGGAAGCATCTTGAACATTCTTACGGCTCGCTTGGTCCGGCTGGCGTCCTCGGAAGCCGTCGTTGGGGCTTCTTTGGGCTGTTTTGTGGCTCTACTGACGCGCCTTCATGCCGTCATGGAGGTTTCTTGGGCCGTCTTGAGATCCTGTTGTGGCACTATTGAGGGCCGCCCTGGGTACCCCTCGGCCCGCCTTGGAGGCCTCTGGGGCCGTCTTCGGCTCAGAAGCTCGAACAGGTGGGAACGCGAAAATCATTGAAACACATTTGGCAAATCAACGTTTGTTGCGCATTCGGGCCCGCTTGGAGGGCCTCTTGGAGCCCTCTTGGGTTGTATCGGGGGCCTCTTGGGCCGTCGTGGGACAACGTGGAGCTGTCCTCGAAGCAGATTGGTCCGTCCAGCTTGGAGTTACTTGAGGCCACCGTGGGTCCTCTTGGTTGGTTCGGCGCCGTCTGGAGTCCAATCAGAGAGCCGAAAAGCAACCCTTGGGGGGTCAAAGGCCACTTGCGGCTCATGGATGGGATTGCCCCTGAGAAGACTTTTAAGATATCTGATCAGGCAGCAGAGGAGCATTGTGACACGCCCCAGTGTGCACTGGGCATGGTGAACGAATGCGTGTGGAAGCGAAAACAGAAAGCAGCAGCACGCATCAGCCAGCAAAAGCCACGCAGCAGCAAACAACACGGAGCATCAGCTAACAGCCACGAACGACGGTAGCCAGCAGGATCAGCAGCAAGTGGTTCAAGCCAAGGCGCTTCCCGTTTTGCCCGAGATAGGTACCACAACCCGCGTACGGAGACTTCGAATGAGTTATTGTATAAATTTGTTTCTTGGGCTCGAAGGGTTGTCTAATATTGGCTTCAAGAGAGTCCAGGTAAGGCTCCAGGGAAGCTTCCAGTGGAGCTCCAAGAGGCACCAGAAGAGAAGGGGAAGATGAGGAGGAGGGGGAGGAGGAGGAGGAGTATGAGAAAGATCGAGGATCGAGGAATGAGGACGAAGGAAATGGAGGAGGAGGAGGAGCAGGAATACGAGAGGAGCAGGAGGGGCAGCAGCAAGTATGAGCAGAGGAGATGCGAGGAGGAGGAGGAAGAGCAGCAGGAGGAGGAGGAGGAGGAGGAGGAGGAGGAGGAGGAGGGGGAGCAAGGACGTGCATCAAGGAATGCGATGTTCCCTGCACCTCTGCGTGAACCATCGCTTACCATGGTGAGTGCACTAGACGATGCCTAGCTGCGGGCCCAGGGCAGCAGGCGGAGCCACGACTTCTGCCTTGCGTGGTATCGGATTGCTGGTGGTGTGAACTTCTGAGGGGGAGGACTTGATGGTGGAGGATGCTGGGGAATCCCTGCTGCTATGCCCACCTCTATACATCGCGGGCTACTTTCACGTCCTCGTCCCTCGTCGCACGTCCTTTCACTTTTGGGCACGCTATGCGCTCCTCGTTCTTAGCATGAGGCGCCGTGTCCCTTTTTTCTCACAGCTCGAGGCTCGATATGTTCACCGTTAGACGCTGCGGCCCAAAGGCCAGAAATACGGCAGTGCAACAGGGAGTGAGGAGGAAGATCGAGGAGTAGTGACGAGGACGAGCGCAAAGGAGGAGGAGGAGGAGGAGGAGAAGGAGGAGCCACGAAGAACGATGATGAGGCACGACGACCCAAGCAGGAAGAGGAGCGAGAAGGAAAAGGGTGAAAGTGAAGGGGTGAGGAGGAACGCGGCTGCCAGAGTGAGGAGAAGGAGGAGAGGGCGGAGAGGTAGAAGGAGCGATGAGTAGCGTAAGTGAGGAAGAGCACGGAGGACGAGCGAGGAGCTGTTGCGACGAGGAGCGCAACGAGTGAAGCGAGCAGGACGAGCGAGGAGGAACGAGGAAAAGGAGGAGAGGGCGAGGTCTAGGTGGGAGTGACGGGGGCCCTACCACGACAATAAGGATGAGAGATGGGGAGGGTGAGTAAGGAGGACGAGACGGAGCTGGAGGAGGAGGAGGAGGAGGAATGCGGAATGAGGAGGAGGAGGAGGAGAAGAAGAAGGAGGAGGAGGGAGAAGGAGAAGGAGGAGCGAGGAGGAGGAGAGGGAGGAGGAGGAAGAACACGAGAAAGAAGAGGAGCGAGGAGAAATAGGAGCGCTGAGCGAGGTGCAAGGGGGATCAGTGCGGAATTGAAAGGGGCCTCAGCGAAGTGGAAGAGCGAGGAGCGAGGAGGAGGAGGAGGAGGAGGAGGAGGAGGAGATGGAGGAGATGGAGGAAGAGGAGGAGTGTGGGAGTGAAAGCAAGAAGCAGCAGCACGCAGCAGCGAGCAAGCGCGCACAGCGCAGAGCAGCAGAAAGCCCCACGGAGCAGAATCACGCCGCAGCGCGTGCCGTCGTTCCCGACATTGCGGCTGCCCTTACCGCAGATTGGAGATCCTAGGTTCTGAGGACCTTCACCAATATCCCTCCCTCCCTCCCTCTCTCCCTCCCTCCCTCCCTCCCCCCTCCTCCTCCTCCTCCTCCGCCGCCGCCGCCGCCGCCGCCTCCTCCTCCTCCTCCGCCTCCTCCTCCTCCTCCTCCTCCCGCTCCTCCTCATCCTCCTCCTCCTCCTCCTCCTCCTTCTCCTCCTCCTCCTCCTCCTCCTCCTCCTCCTCCTCCTCCTCCTCCTCCTCCCCCTTCAGTCCAGTCCATCCGCCGCCACTGCTCCGCCAAAGCGAGAGAGTCAGAATGGACAGCCTCACGCATCCTCGGAGGCGGTGGGCCCAGCTTCTGTCGAGTCGCACGCTCTGCCCTCCTCCCTCTGTTCTGCTTTTACGTTCCAGGGTTAAGTCGGGCCTGTCCCTCTACAGGAGGAAAAGTCAAACATAGTATTAAAGAACTAGTATGGGAAGGATGTTTAACAATTTTTGAATATTTTTAGTTGTTTTTTGTATGTTTAATCTTTCGCCCAAAATCCGCCTGTAGGGAAACAGGCCCGACCTAATTCCAGAGGCAAGGACCTTGGCACGACCTTTTCCTCTTCCGCCTCTCCGGCTCCAGTGGCGATGAATTCGTAGTGCTCCGACGCACGTGCAGACCTCTGGGCGACGGACCAGACATGTATGCGCCGCGCGGATGCATCTCTGATACATGAGTGTTGTTTCACAAGCTTCCTGCGTCGGGTTCTCGTTTTGAATAGAGCACTGCGGTCGCACACCTCCTCCCGTCCCCTCTCCCTTCTCTCCTGCCTCTCACCTCGCTCCTTCCTATGTGCCGGCTTGCCTCCTACCTGGCCATCCCTGGGGGGACTGCGATCTGCGAGATTGTCGCCATTTTCGAGGGCTGCTGGGGGGGTCCAGCGGAGTGACGTCTTACGCGGATTCAAATTTGACGTCGCCATCCCTGGTGGGGCTGCGATCTGCGGAATTGTCGCCATTGTTGGAGGGCTGCTGGGGGGTCCAGCGGAGTGACGTCTTACGCGGATTCAAACTAGACCTCGCCATCCCTGGAGGGGCTGCGATCTGCGGAATTGTCGCCATTGTTGGAGGGTTGCTGGGGGGTCCAGCGGAGCGACGTCCTACGCGGACTCAAGTTAGACCTCGCCATCCCTGGGGGGCTGCGATCTGCGGAATTGTCGCCACTTTCGAAGGCTGAGGGGGGGGGGGGGGGTGCCCGGACAGAGCACCCGGGCGACACAACCCGAAGGGAGGTGCGCAAGATGCCTGCATGAATCCACATGCAGTCGGACCTCGCAACATGAACGGCGGCACAGACCCGCTCAAGGCGTCACATCTGCGCCGCCGTTGCGAGGCGCCTCGAGATGCCACCCCGAGACACGGCCGCCGAAACCACCGCCACTTGGCCGCCGGCCTCAAGCAGCGGAGACCCCGCTGCCCAAGGACTTAAGTTCCCGCGCCCCCCACGTCGGGAGACCCCTTCGAGTAACCCCTATCGGGCCTCTCAGGGGTGGTACGGCGGGCCTGCACCTATTGCGGCTGGCCAACCACAGGGTAGGAGTCTCTCCCACAGCCTCGTCGAGCTGTGGTGACGATCGGGCTGCCAACCCGCTTGTTTTCCTGGGACGCCACGAGGGCACCCAGCAGCACAGGTGCCTGATGGGGGGTCCAGCGGAGCGACGTCTTACTCGGACTCAAATTCGTGGTCGCCAGCCCTGGGGGGGCTGCGATCTGCGGAGCTGTCGCCACTTTCAAGGGCTGCCTGGGGGTCCAGCGGAGTGACGTCTTACGCGGATTCAAATTAGACCTCGCTATCCATGGGGGGCTGCGATCTGCAAAACTGTCGCCACTTTCGAGGGCTGCTGGGGGGTTTAGCGGAGCGAAGCACCACCCAGATGTTCACATTTGGCCTCGCCATCCATGGGGGGTTGCGATCTGCGAAAGTGTCGCCACTTTCGAGGGCTGCTGGGGGGTCAGCGGAGCGAAGCACCACATCAGATTTGACCTCGACATCTCTGGGGGGGTGCGATCTGCGAAACTGTCGCCGGTTTCGAGTGCTGCCTGGGGGTCCCATAGGGCGCTGTCGCGGGCCTCCCGCAGACTTGGCGGTGCGCCTTCGAGTGTGTAGCTCCCGCACTGAAAAGTGCAGGAAGGAAGCATGGAATTTGGCGGGTGAGCTAGGCTTCGCTCGCTTCTTGTACTAACAACCAGCAGGCTTACTAATTTGCCGAGCGCCGCGGCATCATGGCGCAGGCAGCGCTGCATCTTTAGCGTACTACCGACAGAAGCAACATTCTTCGATCTCCTCCTGTCACTTTCGTCGTCGTCCTCTGCCCCCTGCCACATTCCCTCTGCTGCTGCCGCGCTGACGGTTCGGCCCCCCCACGCGTCCTTGTCCTGCCTGTCGTTCCCACCCCCATGTCCTTCTCAAGCCTGGGCCCTCGCTCCTCGTCTTTGTGATGTTATCCTGTAAATCGTGCCGCGTGAGCGCGCCCTATGAAGCTAGGCCAACATATAACGGCACCAACACTGTCATTGTCTTGGCAAATGTGGGCCAACTTTTCATGTCACTTGATGCAAATGGGTTGGGTACGTCGCAGGGTAATTGGTCGTCGCCCCCTGTGTGTGTGTGTGTGTGCGACCCACAATGTGTCTCCATCTGGCGTGTACATCCTGGTGCAAATCAACAGGCAGATGTTCTGCCAACCCGATCTTCGCCTGTCTAGGAAAGATTCATGTACTATCCTGCTGCCTTCTCGATCCTGACATCTCGTCCGCATTCAGCTCTCGGATCTCAGATGTTAGGTTGGTGAACGTGTCGCATGTCGGCCAGTGGCTTGCCGCCCCTTCCCAGGAAAGGCGGAAAGAAGAGGAGGGTGGAGAGGTGGAGAGATGGGAAAGGAGGGGGATGGAGGGAATGAGAGAGAGGCGAGACAGTAAGGGACATGGCAGTGTCTTGAACTACCTCTGGTGGGTGGACTCTTTGCCTCACTGAAGTTCGATTTGCCCGCCCATGTTGCGTACATCCTGGTTGGCTATTTGTTTGAGGAGGGGAGAGCTGGGAGAAGGACGATGAGGAGCAGAGATAAAAGAGGAGGAGGAGGAGGAGGAGGAGGAGGACATGGACAACGAGGGGGGATGCGGCAGCACAATTCCAAACATCCTCCTACTTCCGTAATCGCAAGGCCTTCCTTCCTCTTCCCTTTTGTGGGGGCGCGGGCCGAAAGTTGTTCTGCCGGTGAAGACGCTGTCATGTGTCATAGCTCTGCCTGCTGTTTCCGACGGGCGTGTTGCCCAGACCTCCGACGTCTGGTTTTTGTGGGGGGGGACGCGGGCCCAGACCTCTCGGCCCCATCCCCAGGGCCAGGAGGAGGAGGAGGAGGAGGAGGGGGAGGAAGAGGAGGGGGAGGAGGAGGAGGAGGGGGAGGGGGAGGAGGAGGGGGAGGAGGACCTCCTCCCGGAAAGCTCGTTGACGGCCCCAGGGTCCGAAGCGGCCCTCCACTCGGAAAAGCCAAGACACTCTCCAGCGTCAGGAGGGCGCCAGAGAGGTCTGGGACGGAGCACGGCGAGCGCAGCCCCTTGTCGTCGTGGCCCGAGGAGGAGGAGGAGGAGGAGGAGGAGGAGGAGGAGGAGGAGGAGGAGGCGGAGGAGGCGGAGGAGGCGGAGGAGGCGGAGGAGGAGGAGGAGGAAGAGGAGGAGGAAGAGGAGGAGCGAGCGGGCGAGCGGCCGTCTCGGGATCGCGGTCGGTTAGGCCAGTCCCGGGAGTCCCGGGGACAGGCCAGGTCCCGGGGTGTTGCCGAGATCCCTGCCCCCATGGGCCAGACATTGGCCAGGTGTGGGCTCAGGCCGCTAGTCCGCGCCTGTCACGCTGGGGAGGCCTGGGTAGCCTCTGCAGCCCAGCGGCCCACCCCCTCGGAAAATCATCGGTCCTCCGGTGCTGAGATGCAGCGACTTGTCGTCGTGCTGTCCGCTCCTCGTCAGCGTTGGGGAGCGGCGGGTCCGGCGGAGCTGTGGTGAAGATGGCAGCCCACAGCGACCCACGATGTCAACGGGATTATGTGGAGAGCACGCGTCAGCCTTCGGTCTCCTAAGAGAGTCAGGAGCGTAAGAAGGACGTGCGCGTGCATGAATCCACGTTAGTTTCAAGATTGCGCGCTGCGCGAACGTTCGTATCGCGCGGCTGGTCTCGAGGACTGGGGGGCCCGTATTCGTGCGTGTTCGGGCGCGCACGTTTTTTGTGGGCCACCTAATGAGAGAGGGACGGTGCAACAGTTGGGAGGTCAAATTCTGACTTTGCACTGGCCCGACATGTGGCTCAAGCCAGCCTAATCCGGCCCAGTCCAGCTTCATCCGCAGCCAAATCCGGCGTAGCTGCGTAGCAGCCCCCGAACGGGCTTCGATTGTCCCTCACTCTTCCAACGAGGAACTTCAGCAGTTGCCTACTCTAGCAGACCCCCCCTCCCCCTCCCCGGCGCCGCGATTAATCTGGCCTAACCCAGCTTAGTCCGCAGCCTAATCTGGCGGGGGCTCGATTCTCCCTCACTCCTCTTCCGACGAGGGACTCCCGCAGTTGCCTCCTCTAGCAGACCCCGCCCCCCCCCTCCCCCCAGCGCCGCGATTAATCTGGCCTAGCCCAGCTTAGTCCGCAGCCTATCAGTTAGCCAGATGCCTATCAGTTAGACAGATGCCTACTAGCAGTCGGATCCGCTGCCTTTTTTTAATGGTTCTGGCACGGTTCAGGATCGTCCGGAAACATCAGTACGGTTGACTCGCGTCGTTGAAGCACCAGGAATGGTGTTCTGGCACGGTTCAGAGTTTTCAAACGGTTGTCTTCCAACGGGTCTTTTCTCAGTGAATTTGAGTTGTTGTAGAAGTTTGTGAAGAGGGAATTTGGAGCCAGGGTGTATCGCACCATCGCTGAAAAGGCTTAATTCGGTGTGTCCTGGTCCTCCTCCTCCTCCTCCTCCTCCTCCTCCTCCTCCTCCTCCTCCTCCTCCTCCTCCTCCTCCTCCTCCTCCTCCCCCCCTCCTCCTCCTCCTCTTCCGTCGGGTTCAGCCTACATACGCCCAAGGTGCCCATACATCATCCCTCTTCTTTCTGCTCCTCTTCCTCGCTCCTCGCGTCTCCCTCATCCCCCCAACCGAGAAAATGGGGGGGAGAGTGGGGAGGAGGGGCTGACCCTTCCTCCCTCCTCCTCTTCATCCTCCGCCTCCTCTTCATCCACTTCCTCCTCCCGAGGATGACCTTCCCCTTCCCCCCGTCCTCGTCCTCCTCTTCCTCCTCCTCCTCCCCTCCTCCTCCTCCTCCTCCTCCTCCTCCTCCTCCTCCTCCGCCTCCTCCTCCCTCCTCCTCCTCCTCCTCCCTCCTCGCTCCTCCTCCTCCTCCTCCTCCTCCTCCTCCTCCTCCTTCTCCTCCTTCTCCCTTTCCGCCTCCCTTTCCTCCATTCACTTTCCTTGGCACGCCGCTAGGAGGCGGTGCCCGCGGGTTTTGTTTTCGCCTTGCGTTGCGCCCAGCTGCCGCCGAAGCCCCTCGCTGACAGTGCACCTGTGAGCTACACCCCAGTCGAGTCCCATCCCCTCTTCCTCGTAGATAATTCCTCCCCCGAGACGTGTCACCAGGGCGGGCCTGGCGCGTCGCCCGAGACGTCCTCACTATTGATGATCCTTTAGCTGAAACTTGCAACATGTTCACGGATGGAGGGCAGGTCGCTTTCAAGATGTGGTTCTCGCCCTAGCGCCGCGCACATTCGTCTTCAATGTCGCAGCAGTTTCGGAGGGCGGGCCGTTTTCAACACGTTCGGTTTTTAATATTGCAAGCGTTTCGCGGATGCTGGGCGGGCCGTCTTCAAAACGTGGTTCTCGCCTCAGCGCCATTCACATTATTTTCTGACCTTTGCCAGAGTTCTACGGATGGAAGGCGGCAGTTTTTCAAAATGCGGTTCTCGCATTAGCGGCGCGCACTTTCGTTTTTTTCAAAGTATGCAAGAGTTTCATTGATGGAGGGCGGCACGTTTTCTTCAAAATGTGGCTCTCGCCTCAGCGCCGCGCACATTCGTTTTAAGAGCTTACAGCCGCTTCAAGGATTCGTATGCTTGACGTCCCAGAACTGTTTTTGGCACAGTTCAGGATCGACTGGGCGCGACAGCCACGTTGAGTCGCCCGGTGTTGCTGTCCCAGAAACGTTGTTCTGGCCCGATGTAGGGTCGTCATGTCGTAACCGTAACCCTCATTCGCGGCCTTCAAGTCCCAGGAGCAGTGCTTTGACACGATTCAAGATTTCCAGACCGTTGCTTTCTAATGGGGCTCTTCCCCCAGTGACAATAACCATGACGACGAGGAGTCCACAGTGGGTTCAGAGTTGGCAGACAACTGCCAGAGACCTCGAAACTCGAAGTTCGAACCTCTCCCTCTCCTTCCTCCCATAGGCCCACAGGCCCCCCTCCCCCTCCGACGTCGACGACATCGGCGACGGCCCCCCGCGAGCGAGGAGCTCCACGAGCAGCGCATCCTGATCCCCGAACAGCGGGAACTCGGCCCGATGCAGGTCGCGTTCGCGAAGGGTGAGGCCTCCTCCGGCCTGTGGCCCTGCCTTCGTCGTCCTCGTCCTCGTCCTCTCTGTCCTCATCCTTCTCCTTCTCGTCCTCCTCGTCCTTGTCCTCTTCGTTTTCCTCCTCCTCACATGATCCTTCTACTCCTCTCCATCTTCCCCCCTCACTCCTCCTTCCCCATCCCGTCTTCTTAGACACCTCTCATCTCTCTACCCGCTGCACACGCAAGGAGGCGGAGGGGAGGGAGGGAGGGAGGGAGGGAGGGAGGGAGGGAGGGAGGGAGGGAGGAGGAGGAGGAGGAGGAGGAGGAGGAGGAGGAGGAGGAAGAGGAGGTGGTAGGAAGAGTGCTCACCAAGCTCGTCACAGGCCTCAACATACGGTAGATAACTATTGGAGATTGTGGCGGCCAAGTACTTTCCAAGGGCGGTTAAGGCGCTAATTTTGTTGGACCCGTGATGTAGCGGGACCATCTCAAGGAACAGAGTCAAGTTGTGGGGTCCGACAGTAAACCTCATCTTTGCTGTCAAGGGTATGGCCGAAGCCCAGTCGCCAGAGAGGGTGTAACTTATCCACTGGGAAGAACAACGAATATTGCCCCTGTCTTATGATGCGTCCACGCAGCGGGAAGCCCTCGGGTGATACTGAGACCTTCAGCGGGTAGCTGGACGCTCATGCCTGGAGGCTGACATATGACATGTGGAAGGCTTTTGAAGACGCATGCATTTGAGACATGCATTTGGCCTCTTGGTGCCAGGAAGAGCCTTCCTTGTCTTGCTTGTCAGGCTGTCTCATATTGGTGAGATGGCGGTTCCCCACCTCCGGACAGTAACTCGAGTTCCAAGAGAAGTTGTCACAGAGGAGTTGCAGCGCGAACGACTTCGAACAATAAGCGGAGGTCTCGCGCATGTGGTTGAGTATCTGGTCGTCCCCGGTCTCTACCGCTGTGATTGGGTCGCCCGAAGACTCGTGCGTTGCATCGTACGCAGGTCGAAGCACGACTATCTTTGCGCCCTCTCGAGGCCCCCAGGGATGGGCGAAGCTCCAGTCCAGACATCGAACCTGGCTCCTGCGGGTGATTCAGTCCACTGAAGGGGCTTCAACCATGGCGAAAGAAGTGTGGCTCGGAAGCGCGGCGTTGTATAGTGGCTTGCTTCCCAGGCTGCAGCATCGTGCGTGCAGAGGAGTACCGATTGGGTTCGTGGCGTCAACGGCGTATCATGGGCTGCACCTTCTAATGTCAATCCTGCCGCATCCTGTGCGACTCTTGGACGGCCCGGCTCCCCTCAAGTCGGAGTCGACGGGCTGTGCA